CCCCATATGTCTCATATACTGTCATGTGGTAGTATATATACTACTTTATCATTTTAAATATATTCGTATATTATATGTAAGATATTTCAAAGCAAGTTACATAAAAAAATTGCATATGGACCCATAGTTTTTATTATATTTACGAAATACGTACATATTTGTACGTAAAAAAGAGCATACTCAAAACATGGTATATACTACCTAAAAACTAGTATATATACTACCTAATCATTGTTATATACTACATACTACACGTACATACTCTCAATTTTGACAGATACTATATACAACATACAAAACACAAGTGGTGGTAACTACCACGGCTTGTAGGAAACATTTGTCCTATATATATATATATATATATATATATATATATGAGTGCAAAGACCAACTTAGAGTACAAGACAAAGCAGGACCAAATCCTAGTCTATCATATACTTCCTAATAATCTTATACTCAACATCCCCCCGCAGTCACAACGGTAGCGTCGCAGACGGTGAGACTGGAGAAGAATCCGAAGGCAAGCCGACGGACACCCCCCACAGTCGTAACGGTCGACGCATCGCGGAAGTCGTGACTGGAGTGGAAACCGACGAGGTTGCTCAAGCAGGCGGTAGCCCTTTGTGTCATTTGTCGATGTAGCCGAGAGTGTGTGTGGTGGAGCCGTGGTCGAAGTAGCCGTGCGAAAAATGTCGTGGTCGATGTCGAGTCGGGGTGGCCGGTGTCGAGGAAGTCGCCGTGGAGCCGCGGGCGCAAGGGGGCGCCGAGTTAGCATGGGCGCAGTTGTGTCAAAGTAGTGGTGCGCCGGAAAGGAGATGTTGTTGACGACGCGTCGCGGCGGGTTTGCCAAGCCTGGGGACACATCGTAGATGAAGGCACGCACCAGTGTTGCCAGCACCGGGCATGTGTAGACTGACGAAGAGGAAGTTGACGAAGCGCCGCACCAGGCTTGCCAGGCCCAGGGACACGTCGTGGACGAAGGCATGCGGCGGTGTTGCTAGCACCGGGCATGCTGAGATTAGGACCTGCACGAGTTGTACGCCATGTCGAAGAAGTCAGAGGGCCAGCAGAGAAGGACTCAACGACGGTTGCGGCGTCCATTGGCGCGGGGCCAATGTCACCAACGGTGGTCGGAGTAGACGAAGTGGTCGGGGTAGATGACGACGATGCTGACAACGAGCTGGTGCTGGATGAAGACGAAGGAGGTGGACGGGCGGCTGCGGCAGCTACGAGGTAGCGGCGGCGGCGGCCAAAGAAAAGCGGCGGCGGCGGCCTGACGGCGGCGGCGGCTTGATTAGGAGCACGACAGTGGTGCTCAAAGTAGGCGGAAAAACCCTGACAACGTGACGAAGACCGGCGCGGACGTGGCGTTCCCGCGCCAAGGGAGACGGTGTGGCGCATACCACGGGAGTTCGATGCGCGGTGACGGCAGAGTGGACCGCGGGCCGCGGCGCTACGGCGCGAAGGGGCGACGCAGCGGCGGCGGGCAGGTCTGGGCAACGACGGGAAGACCTCGGGGTGGCGGCGCAGACCGCGGGTCGCGGTGTGACAGCCCGAAGGGGTGGTGCGGCGGAGGAGTACGGGTCGGTGCAACCGCGGGGACGACCTCAGGATGGCTGTGTGGACCGCGTGCCACGCTCGCTACGGCCCGACGGGACGATGCAGCGGCGGCGCGAGGGTCGGTGCGGCCATGGGGACGACCAGGAGCGGACGGCCTCGGGGCGGCGGTGGACCGGGGGCTGCGGCACTACGGCCCGAAGGGGCGACACAGCGGTGACGCGGGTCGGTGCAGCCGGGAGAAGAACCACGGGGCGGCGGCGCTGCGGCCCGACGGGGCAACGCAGCGGCAGCCCGTTACTCGATCGGTGGAGGGACGCGCTGATAGAGGCAAAGGTGTCCCGTCTTTCGATGAGATGGTGGATTTCGCTTTGGTGGAAGTCGACTTTGTCGATCCGACTACGAACGTGCGAGGACGTCGCGCCTTAGCAATCGCTAAACCAACTCCGAGAGGTTATTGACCACGCCGGAGCACGATCAACC